TTTCTAAACTAAAATAACAGCCATATTCTGACACCCCCTCAGGATCATATTATGCAAATAATCTGGAAAGTCGGTATCATTATGTATGTATTATAAGGGCAAACTTAAGTAGACTATTAAATGATTCATCAGTATCCAATATACAGAATATTTCCAAACTAACAGAATAACCATATTCCGACACCCTTTAAAGACATATAAAGCAAATAGTCTGGACAGTCATTACCATTATGTATCTATTGTAAGGACAATTTTAGGCACACAATCAAATGATTGTGGAATATTTTGTTATTTCTTCGAACGCTTTCACTTTTCGTACTTGAGAGTAAGGAGGAATATACAAACGACGATCATTTAATCATCTGTATAAAACAGTCTTTACATTTTAAGATAATTGTGATCTATCACTAGATTGTTTAATACGTTCAATCAATGATCAATCAATGATAGGAGCAAAATTGTGACACCATTTCACTATCTTATTATTCATAAGAATGTTATCAAAATTTATATTTCAATTTATTCTTTATTCATCAGTATTTTGAAGATGATGTATAACCTTATTCCAAGGTTGAATGGAATTCAATGGATACAGGTGATGGTATTCATTATTTTGTCTATCGTTGAAATATGAATATTAAAGTTCCAAACCAAAGTAATGTTTATAATCAAAAATCCATTTTTTTATTTCCTTTTCTGGAACTTATCGAACAGTAGTGTATACTATTTTATTAGAATACAGGTTATAGAATTATCTAATACAAAATCCAAGAATACTTTTTGAGCTTGCTAAATTAACACTAAAAGTGTTGTGAGTTGAAAAGGCCATTCCTTACCAAATGAAATGGAAATACAAAATGGGACGTCCCATCTTTCAACAGTAACCTAACAAAACAAATCTCTAAGGATATATGTAAATGATATACTTACTGCTTTCATTATCTTCTAGTGGAACAAAACAAATCTCAAAAGATTTATGTAAATGATATGCTTACTTACTTACTTACTGTCATTCTCTCCTACTGAAGCATAGGGCCTTAAAGTTCCTCTACATCTTACTCTGTTGCTTACTTCTCTCGTAATGTAAATAATAACCTGTATTTCTTTAGAAATCTACGGTGTGTCATTATTATTTTGAATAATCAGATTTTGAACAACTATTTTTCTGTTTAATATGGACTTATGTTTTTGTATGTCTTCCTCAATAATGAAATGAATTTGTACTCATTTATTTAGCAATTAATATTTTATTAGGCAACCACTCGACATGTCAGCTAAGATTTCTACGATCCACCACTTCAAAAACCTGCCACCAAATAATATTATTTACCCTTAAAGATTTCCTGATGCTGTCTATATATCTAAGTACTTATATTATTACAAATGAGCCACTCAAAAAGTTAAAAGGGCGAAAAAGAGTTCCCTTACAATTGATTCAATCATCAAATATTCTCTAACAAATATAAAATTAGATGTATTTTTATTAATAATTATAATAATTATATTTAACATTGAATAACATAAGAATATTTTAAAAAAAAATCATTTTACCATACCTTATGAAGTATCCGGATTGTTTGTTAACTACTTCTTAGGTAACAAACCTTTTTCAAAATTTTTGTTTTTGTTATGTTGGTACACCCTTTC